AGTGCATCCTGATGTATTCCTATTATATATACCTGCACATCTTGTGTATCACGACGATGTAGATATCTCACAGTGCTTGCAAATCTGTCAAATCTCTAATTCCAAACCGTGTGAGCTACAAGCAACAGCCCAGCAATGGAGCTTCAACGCATTAAGCGTATTGGATTTCAATCTGACATCTGGTCATTATCATCTCCTCTCTCGCTCTTTCTCTTTCTCTCCCTCTCTCTGACTTTCACATACTCCATCTCCATAAACAATTCCATTTGAAAACCTCGCCGGCTGCTGTCAGTGTGTGTCTCTCCTCTCACACCCTCCCCTCCTCCTGTTGGTCCTGTAGTTTGTGCGCGCACATCGGAGCAGGTGAGTAAATCACAGAGATGCCGAGTGTGAGATAACGAGGCGATGGGGGATTCTCGCGGTTCCAGATGCATCGCCCAAGGCTGAATGGAAGGGGTGGAGCAAACCGGCACCAGCACAGCTGTTCACATGATGCACCATGATGGGGTCATGGATACCAATGAAGACCCTTGGAGTCTTGGACCTTTTTAAAAGTAAAATGTGGAACAGTGGAAATGACTTTTTTAAACAATCGCCAAAGAGCAACGTTGCAACTTCTGGGATTCTCAAAGCGAATGCTCAAGGTTTGCCTGGTTAGACAGATCATCACGCCTGTAATCTATCTGCTGTTTGTCTATTTGTGTCTCTGCATATCATTTAGATTTTGCTGGGTGTTGTTACTGTTCTGGTAACACTTTAGATTACTATTCCTTTATTAGGTGAACGTGATTTCACCATACCACATATTCTTGGATCAAGATCTTTGTTGATCGGATCTGAGGGACGTGTTTACACACTGAAAAAAACTACTTGTAAGATTTACTTAATAAAATCCTCGTAACAATTTGCACAAGTAAATTTTAAGTAAATTTTACTGCTATAATATTAAGTACAACTCGCGTGCCATTATCAAGTAAAATCTACTTAGTATTGAACAAAACTCTCATGAAGAAATTAAGTAAAAAATACCCATTTACATTTCATTTAGAAGCTATATCTATTTAAAGTAATTAAGTAAAGTTTATTTATTGTTTTTAAATTAGGAAGCTTGCTTTTATGAAATTTTTAAGTAAATCTTACCATTTAATGAAGTAAAATAAGTAGATATTATTTAAGTTTTTTTGTTGAGATTTTCATTTACTACATATTTAAAAATTTAAACATTGATAATTTCTTTTTATAAATAATCATGAACATAAATAAATAATCATTTTTTCAATATTTTTCACAAATCACACAACTAAAATTCAATTAAACAGTTTATTTTTCAGTCATCAAAAATGTTCATACAAGAATGGACATTCAGTCATCTCTTGACACAGGTGCATTCAGTAAAACTGTCTTTACGGTATTGCTGCTTCCAGCATTTCCTTCCCTTCAAAAAGGATGGATACATCGATTGGGTCTTCTCCATCAGCACCACGAACGACCAGTATTTTAATGCTGTGCTGAGTGATGTCACTGCCGCTGTCCTCCTGCATACAATTTAGAAGAAAAAATATAATTCTTTTGAGAAACAAAAATATAATGGCTTAAATTATTTTATTTGACTTGCATTAAAGGACAAGTTCGGTATTTTACAATTAAAGCCCTGTTTTAAGATCGTCCCTGATGAAATAGAATAGTTAAGATTGTTTTTTAGACAGATGCTCCGGTCACGAGAATTTTTGGATCCTGTGTTAGCACCCCCCCACCTTTATAATGAAAGCATAGGTGCACTCGAACAATCATTCATTAAAACGCATAAAACTTTAGTTTACAAAGACGTGAAACTCACCGAGTGGTCTGGGGTGTTCACTGATATGCTCACACAAAAATCGCTGTAAAAGATGCTTTCCAACAGGTTCTATCGTAGTTTTTGTCCAAGTCCATTTTCTTCCTGTTTTTGGTCGAAATCCACAGTAGTCAATTGTCGAGTTTGCGTGCGCGATCCTTAGTTATCTAGTTCGAGTTTGCGTGCGCGATCCTTAGTTATCTAGTTCGAGTTTGCATGCGCGATCCTTAGTTATCTAGTTCGAGTTTGCGTGCGCGATCCTTAGTTATCTAGTTCGAGTTTGCGTGCGCGATCCTTAGTTATCTAGTTCGAGTTTGCATGCGCGATCCTTAGTTATCTAGTTCGGGTTTGCGTGCGCGATCCTTAGTTATCTAGTTCGAGTTTGCGTGCGCGATCCTTAGTTATCTAGTTAGACCGAAAACAGGAAGAAAATGGACTTGGACAAAAACTACGATAGAACCTGTTGGAAAGCATCTTTTACAGCGATTTTTGTGTGAGCATATCAGTGAACACCCCAGACCACTCGGTGAGTTTCACGTCTTTGTAAACTAAAGTTTTATGCGTTTTAATGAATGATTGTTCGAGTGCACCTATGCTTTCATTATGCATATGAATTCATGAAATGAATAGTGGAATAGTCATTATGTTTGCGCACAAAAAGTATTCTTGCCGCTTTATAAACTTAAAATTGAGCCACTGCAGTCACTGCATGACTACTTTGATGATGTCTGTATTACCTTTTCTGGACAAGGACGGTATATCATACATACATTGTATTTTGAAGAAAATGGGATATCAAACAGTTGACTGTAGCCATTAGAAATCTACTATGGAAGTCAATGGCTACAGTCATTTGATTACCAACATTCTTTTAAAATATCTTTGTTTGTGTTCATCAGAAGAAATAAACTCACAACGGTTTGGAACAACTTGAGTGTAAACAATGTTTACACAATGTAAACAATGACAATTTTTATTTTTGGGTGAACTATCCTTTTTAGGGTGCTATAAACTGGAGTGCAGTTTTCTGTGAAATAAATTTGACTCTGTTTAACCTTTCACACGCAACTTTAAAATATTCTAGCTGACCACCCAGTGTGCGACTTTCATTTTAAAATATATCTCATTATTTCCATGGCGACGTTTCGTGATTGTGAAAATGAAAATGATGTCATTAATGACTCACCCTCATGTCGTCCCGAGCCTGTCAGAACTCTGTTCATCTTCAAAACACAGTTTATCATCTTCTTTATCGTCAAAGTAGAGAATGAGGCTGCGGATAACTGATTCCCATCTCAAGGCTTTGTGTCTGTGAACAGATTTATATTGTACCATTACACAACCTTTTATTCATACACAATGAACTCAATGAAATCAAGTGAGAACACAAAAGCATTCATGCGCAAGGAACACTGATTTGAGTACTTAGAGCAAAGTGACTCTACTTCCTGTTCCTGTCTGCCTTGCATTTTGGCCAAAGCAGAACTGTCGCTGAAACTCTATCATCTTCAGTACAGATTCTTAATATTTGAAATTTAAGTTGTAATTTATGACTAAAATTCTAATTACTGAAATTTCTGAACTTTTGACTTTTGTCTGTTTAATACAGTAAAGCTACTTTAATGCAATCTATATTGTATTAAAAGCTATACAATAAATGTACATGCATGTATGAGAAATACATTAAGTACAGTATATCTTATTTAAAAAAATGTGAACAAGCACACTTTTGATCAAACACACCTGATTCAGTTTGTCCAGAAATGGCCTCAGTTGGTCCCCACAACACCTCCCATGGCCTTCATCAGGGCAATAAGTCTTTATGTGCATTGGTCAAGTCTGAACATGAATCTCTGCCCCATGATCGATTCTCCTGAATTCCTCCTTGATCTAATGTGACAAAATGATTCAAGAGTACAACAGCAGAAATTTGGTTAAATAGACTGATGCAGGGAGCAAGGGTTAATTATACAAGGACTGTAGATATCAACAGTGGAGTGAACAATCCAGCACTTTCTTTTGTAATGTGCAAATCCAAAAGAGAAACACTAATTTGGCATTTCAATTTTAACTTTGAGTTTAGTACATTTCAAGTTTATTTATTTTTTCATGTGCTAAATCAGTTACTGTTGTCAATATTAATATTGCCCATGATTGCCACTCACGATCTCTATTTTCTACAATCAACTTTTAGAAACAGGATGATTTTAGAAACGCAGCCCTGCTTACTTTAAGACCTCATTTATGCACGATTTAGTGCGATTGAAAAAAAAAAAATAGCTTTATGTGTAAACGTTCCATCCTGAGCAATATTCAGCAAGAGCATTCAAACTTTTCCATAGTCAACAGTATAACGTTAAGAGCGGTTGACATTAAATTGTTAATTTTAAGGCCCAATTTTAGCTAGCTAGCAGTTAAAATGGTAAAGATTGTCTACTAATTTCTACTTAGTTTGACAGTTTTACACGAAAAACAGTTCTTTGTGAATCTATAAAACTATTGAAAACTTCCGATTCAATATAAATAATGTACGTTAACGTTAGGAAGTGAAAAGGGGTTAACGATACAGTATACTGTTATGGATAACCCACACGCGTTGCACTAATATGAGGCCATGTTGTAAGGTGAGCATTAATGTTTATTGAGTCAAATAAACAAGAATCATCAATCAAAACCCACACAGACTCATGTTTTATTAAATGTAAAACAGAAAGACAAACTTACCTCAAACACGACAGAAAGCAGCCACGCAGCAGCCCGCCAATTCGTCTCGTCTCAGATCCAAAGTGCGCAGTTAGACTTGTCCACACGCGCATGTGCGGATTCAAACGCGCTATGCTTTTCTATTAAAATTTACTTAAAATTACTATGTTTATGTGAAGGGACTATAAAACGTTTAAATATTACAAGAAAATATATAATAAGATTTACTCTTTCCAACCAGTTAATTTATTACATGAATTAAACGCGTAGATATTTAAAATTTTACTTAGAAAATTCTAGTTCACATTGAATTTTAATTTTATTAAGTAAAAATTATGATGATTCATTTAATATATATTACTACACCAAAAAGTTCGTTTTTACAGTGCAGTTTATGTCAAGTTTAGGCTTAGAACCAGGGTGAAGGACTGAAACATAAGTGTCATTCGCCTTTCATTACCCTCTGATTTTAAGGAAAAGTTAAAGGTTTAGGAGTAGGGATTGGATTACAAGGATTACAAGTAAGGATTACATTTTGGGACAGGAATGTTGATCCAGGACCATGTCTTACTTGGCAAAATCACATTGACCTCCTTGATTAATAAATAACTACACAGGAAGAAATGAGTAACGCACTACTAACATTCTAGTAACTATACCACTGTAAAAAAAAATGTTGTAGGCTTAACTTAAAAAAGTAAGTAACCTGGTTGCCTTAAATTTTTAAGTTCATTGAACTGGAAAAAGTGAGTTAATACAATGAAGGAGAATGATTTAATCATCAGAAACTCAAAATTATATGTTATCTGAACTAAATAAATTATTTAAGTTGATTTGACAAAATAAAAAATGTTGTGATTTCACTGTAAAAAAAATATTGTTGGTTTAACTTAAAAAAGTAAGTAACCGTGGTTGCCTTAAAATTTTAAGTTGATTGAACTGGAAAAAGTGAGTTAATACAATGAAGGAGATTAATTAAATCATCAGAAACTCAAAATAATAAGTTATCTCAACTAAATAAATTATTATAAAGTTGATTTGAAAAAAGAAAATATGTTGTGATAACAAATCTTGACTAACAAGGAACTCTGATTAACGAATGTAGTTCACTGTTAGCTAATCAGTACTATTTTTTCATACCTGAAGCTGAAGACTACTAAGAACTACTATACAGGTTGATAATTAGTGTTAATAATGCATAATGTATCATATAAGGTATAATGGTGCACACTAAAAAATGCTGGGTTGTTTTAACCCAAATTTGGGTCAAATATGGACAAACCCAGCCTTACGTTTCATATAAACTGCATTTTTAACCACACGTTTGAGTTTGTCCATATTTGACCCAAAATTGGGTTAAACCAACCCAGCATTTTTTTCGAGTGTAACCCATTAGTAATGAATCAAGTGTTACTAAATCCTTCTAAAGAACTAATAATAATTTGGATCAGTATTCTAAAGTGAAAAGATTGATCCCTATTGACTGAAGTCATTGTAAGCTTTTGAGTTTTTTGTAAGGTTTTGGATATTGACTGAAGTGTTACTACATCTTTCTGGAACTACTAATTGTTTGGATCAGTATTCTAAAGTGAAGATCATGGGAACATATTAGGAATGACTCAGGTGTTACCAAATCTATCGGAAGGAATTACTATTCAAAATTTGACAAAATTCTCAAAAGCTTAAAATGACTTATTAGGTAGTCAATATTAGGTAGTTATCCTGTTTTTCACTTTTAGAATGCTGATCAAAATACTTAATTTGTAAATACTTAAGTAATTATTCATTAATGAAGGAACGGTTACCTTGTTGGTCGTATATATCTCGTTATCTTTTTCAGAATTTCCTGGGAAATGAACCCATGTCTTTGGCGCTGCTAGCGCTATTGGCTATATGTCTGCATCATATCCTGAACCGAAAAGTTCTTTATGGCATCAATGGTTCCATGAAGAACCTTTAACATCCATAGAACCTTTCCATTACACAAAAGGTTCTTTACAGTAGAACAGGATTTTTTAGAAACCAAAATGGTTCCTCTGGCATTGCTACAAAAAACCTTTTTGAACTATTATTTTTTAAGAGTGTACACTATGGTGAGCTCAAGACCCAGATTTTAAAAATGCATGTTTTTCATAATGTATAACCAAAGTAAAAAATTGTAACTGTTTGTTTTGCTAAAATATAATGATGCCTGATACTCTAAAAGGTTGTATTTAAATGGAAAACAGCAAGACAAGGAGAGTTTTATTGTATTGTCTCAGATCCCCAAGACACTTGCTTATTTCCCAACAGGTCTGAAAGGAGAACAGGATAAAAACAGGATTTTATGACACAGATTTCATTACTTCAATAAACAATCTTACAGGAAGTCAGTACTTTATAAGGCAAGTAGATAAACTGTTGACTGACCAAACATAAAGGTTTACGAATCAGCCTTTGCCCCTACTGGGAATGTTACGTCCAAAAAGCTATGCCTCTATTTGTTTTTTTTGTTTTTTATAGACGTATCATTATTATTATACATGTTCCTAAAGCAGGGTTATGATAGTTCACTAAAGTTAAATCCATTAAAAATTTGTTTTGCTACTTGAAATAAAATATTTAGTTTAACTTAAGTTAAGAATATAACTTAAAATAACTATAAAATGACAAAACAAAATAAAATCTTTAAATTAAGCATTAATTATTATTGTTAATTACATCCAACATCCAGTAAAATATCCAGCATACCTCAAACAGTATGCACTATAAATGATAAGATCATCGGTTTTATTCCCATGGAATCTATAAACTTAAAATAAAAGGTATAACTTAAATAAAATGAGCCTCGTCCAAATCATAAATGCGATATGATTGATTTCAATGCACAGTCAATAAATACACCCTAAAAATAATGACCAAAACATAATGTTAATTTAGACATAATGAAACCTTGCAAACAACTTTGACAATCTGAATTAAACACAATGATGTGATTTATGCTCTAAATCCCCGAAACACCAGCAGATTGTGACTGACTTCAACTCTCAACAATTCCCTATAAAGGAAGTATTTATAAAAATGTTGTCGCTTAAACTCCTCCGCTGTGAATCTCTCAATTCCCTCTCAAATCTCTCAAATTCAAGATTTATTATCACAACATTTTTTCTTTTTCAAATCAACTTAAATAATTTCTTTAGTTCAGATAACTTATTATTTTGAGTTTCTGATGATTAAATCAATCTCCTTCATTGTATTAACTCACGTTTTCCAGTTCAATCAACTTAAAAAATTTACGGCAACCAGGTTACTTAATTTTTTAAGTTAAACCAACAATATTTTTTTGAATCACCAACCTGATCTCACGGTAATTCGGTTGAATTTTACCTCACTCGATTTTTGCTCAATCGTACATATTTTCCAATTAGCCCAATTCGTGGAATGACCTATCCCTGACCCTGCCCATAAACCTAACCGGACAAATTGTACGAATTCGTACAAATTAGTCTCCTTTTAATCACTCGTACAAATTCGTACGAATTGGTCATGAATCAATCATCTTCGTATGGTTTAGAGAAAGTGATAGAGAAGCAAAATAAAGTTTTAATAAAGGTTGTTTGAAGGAATGGACGTGGGGACCAAAGACGTTGAAAGACACTGCTAGTACACTTTGAACTTGTAATTACTCCACCATTGAAAATGACAGATTAGAATGATCAACCAACAGAAAACGACTGTTTCCCTGTAATTACCAAACAGACAGAGACTAAAAGGAAACAAAGGACATAAAGCATCACAATACACATCCTGTCACCACAGACACTAATGAGAAACAGATAGAGAGAATGTGGGGACGGGAATGATAAACGGGTAAAGCACTAGTCTGTTCATTTAGAAAAGCTCCAAAGACGTAAAAATGATTATCAACGTTCGTTATAATACTCTTCCTAATTGGTGTCAGAGTCCAGTTTAGATTTAAAAAAGGAATTCTAATTGACTAATGTGTTGGGGGAATTAGTGTGGAACAATTGGGACAAAAGATATGATATTTGTTGAAATTTGTCGAACCTCTTTAAAAACACGGCTTTATATAGCAGATCCAGTGCAGATCAGAGCAGATGTTGTGTGTCAGAATGAATATTGTTTACTCAGGTAAAGTCATATTCCGATTTGCTTTGTTAAATGCTTGATGGCCTCAACAAAATATGCCACTGCATACAAGCAAAGCAAATAGAAGCACAATTACAGAGAATACATTAGGATTAAAGGGGAAACAAGGCACATTTTCATTTTAATTAAATATGTTTATTATTTATTTTAGAAGATATGGCTCAGGGCGCATGGGGGATAATCAGTTGATTTCAAAAGCATTATGGGAAATAGAAGAGGCAGAATTGAGATGCATAGATAACATCACGCTGGGCATTATTATAGTGTTTCACTTAATTGCATTTGAGCTTTTCAAATTTAAAACTTGAAAAAGAAAATCTGAAATGCAACAAAATAGTAAATGTGTGAAAATAATGTAGCCGAAATTAAGCTCATTAGAACCTAATAAATGTGTTTTCGTGAGATTACATGTTTCAATTTTTCTCCAGTATTGACGCTACATATTAAGCCTAATCACTTGCTTTGGATGAAACACGTCTATTGTATTAAGAAATGTAAGTATTGCTTCATTTATTTGTTTTTAAGAAATATAAAGCTCTGTTATGAATCTATAGATGGCGCAGGCTGATCGGTTCAATCACATCATTCTCTATTAGGGCAGAGCTGATTGGTTCCTGCCGCAGAACCCTCCACCTTCCCCACCTCCACCTGTATAGATCTGCTACAGGTAATTCACAGTATATTGTACAGTAGCAGCCTGTGTTACTTGCTCACAGCAGTGTGTCGTGTATGTATTGGCAAACTCTCAGAAAAAAAGGTAAACAAAAGGTAAACTTTTGTCCATTTTAGGTCTGAACATGTACAGTATAGGTGCTAATAATATTTATATTTAGGTGCTAATACGTACATTTTAGCTGTTAATATGTACGTTTTAAGTGCTAATACGTACATTTTAGGTGTTAATATGTACGTTTTAAGTGCTAATATGTACATTTTAGGTCTTAATATACATTTTAGGTGCTAATATGTACATGTTGAGTGCTAATATGTCCATTTTAGGTCCTAATTTGTCCATTATAGGTGCCGATATGTAAATTGTAGGTGCTAATATGTACATTATAGGTGCTAATATGTACATTGTAGGTGCTAATGTACATTTTAGGTGTTAATATGTACATTTTAGGTGCTAATATGTGCATTTTGAGTGCTTATATGTTCATTTTAGGTCCTAATATGTCCATTATAGGTGCTAATATGTAAATTGTAGGTGCTAATATGTACATTATAGGTGTTAATATGTACATTGTAGGTGCTAATGTACATTTTAGGTGTTAATATGTACATTTTAGATGTTAATATGTACATTTTAGGTGTTAGTATGTACATTTTAGGTGTTAATATGTACAAAGTACATTCTAGTTGCTAAAATGTACATAGGTGCTAATATACATCTTAGGTGTTAATATGTTCATTTTGAGTGCTAATATGTCCATTTTAGGTCCTAATATATACATTATCGGTGCTAATATGTACATTGTTAGTGCTAATATGTACATTTTAGTTGTTAATATGTACATTTTAGGTGCTAATATCTGCATTTTACGTTTTAACATGTACATCTTAGGTGCTAATATGTACATTCTAGGTGTTAATATGTACATTTTAAGTGGTAATATGTACCATTAAGGTACAAAAGTGTACCTTTTGAGAAGGTACAGCCCCAGTGACAGCTTTTGTACCTTGTTTTTCTGAGTAGCAAGTCCAGTACTTGCAAACTAATCCTGGTACATGGCAAGATTAAAGTTAGTTTAAAGTTATTTTTCACATTCAAATTACAAATGCAGTATCCTAATTCTAGGCTGTTTTGTTTCTCTGAATATTAAACCCACTTTCCAAAGTTTGATGCAGGGGACTGTACTCACAACAAAGATGTTTGCTATGTACTGTAAGTAAGTAAACTTTGTTGCTTCACCCCTGGGGGAAAAAGAGAGCTGATAACTCACAGAAAATGTAAACTTATATTTTCCCACAAACTCTGGAAAAAAACTTTGGCCATGTTTATCAAGTTCAGGCTCATGTTTATTCAGGGTCATATTTTACTTTTAGCTTCATTCCACAAACCTGTAGAACTTTTGTATTCCTACCCCTTATTGTTTTTTGTTTGTCTCATTAATAAACATTTTTTTTATTGGGTAGAGTGAAAACCTTAAAGGTAACCTTAAAGCATGCAGTGTACTAAAGATTTTGAAATATGCTATTATATATTAAGGGAAATAAACTATAACATGATCTGATCTGCAGGGAAACTGAGTTCTGATTGGAGCATTTTGTCCACTCTCAACGAGTCAGCTTTTTACTGTACGCTACACTATTAATAGGCACAATGACCCCTCAAACAAAAGGGTCAGTTTGTAGTGGTGCCTCCAACAAGCTCAAGCCAGAACTGTGTACTCACAAAAAAAAAAAAAAAAAGGTAGGAAAACAACAGCAGGCTTTACAGCTAACCTGACACTGCCTAGTTGGTTCTTTGAGCATCGGCATCACAGACCTCTTCGGGTTCACACGGTAAAAGATCACTTCTATGTTTGAATATAAGTTTGTTAGAAGGTTTTTACTTTTGCCTGTATCTGGAAATAGTATATTTAACAAAGTGACTAACATTTGAATAAATTGTGTAAAATTAATCAGAAAAGGACTATCACTAATCAAATAAATGTGTGACATTGATCATACAAACGGTCAGATCTTGCACACGATGCTCTTTAGAACATCTGAATCCATCCTGGAGAACATCAGATTTGTGTTCTTGTCAGCTTAAAGCAAAAGGTCACAAACTAACTTAACTTAGTCATTCTAAAATTCAAACAAATGTTTCAATTTTTATGAAATTACATTATCTGTTTTGTATTTGTAATGAAGAAAAAAATGTTAAAGGGATAGTTCACTTTGAAATTAATTTTTTGATACTGTATGTTTTAGCATACCTCAAGGGCATCCAAGATGTAGGTGTCTTTGTTCCCACAGTATTTTCAATTTTGATACTTTTCGGTCAAACCGTTGTTGTCTATCAGTCAGGTATAGGGGTAATGCAGTATATCATTAAACAAGATTTAATGACTCGTAAATGTAAATACACATTGATGGCCTAAGACTCGAAACGAGCGGTTTGTGTGAGAAAACGAACAGTATTTATATCGTTTTTACCTCATGTAACCACAGCCATGTCCAACTGATCTGACGGCACGGGCACTTCAGTCGGCGCATGCGCCAGAACTGATCGCTTGCACATGTGCGTCACTCATTGTTTACACAGAGATTTCATAAGTTTCACTGTGAAGATCTAAACATATTTAGATATACAAAAAATTGCAATGGAAGAAGATTTCGATATATCTAAAAGTGTTTAGTTAAAGGTAAAACTTCCGAAATCTCTGTGTAAAAACGATAAAAATACTGTTCGTTTTCTCACACAAACCGCTCGTCTTCGTGTCTTAGGCCATCAATGTGTACTTACATTTACGAGTCATTAAATCATGTTTAATTTGGACTTCTCTGTGCATGCTCTTTGAGGTGAACCCAGGGTGGACCCCCTAAACCTGCATTATATGACTGATAGACAACAACGGTTTGACCGAAAAATATCAAAATTGAAAATAAAGTGGAAACAAAGACACCTACATCTCGGATGCCCTTGAGGTAAGCTAAAACATATAAAAAATTAATTTCAAAGTGTACTTTCCCTTTAAATTAGAAACGACTTCAAATGGAAGCAGACTTTTTGGACCCCATAAAAGAATTACCAAATGTCTGGTTTTTGTGTAGGGTGATGTCATACCACAAAACGGTGCTATATAATTATCACGAGTGACAAGTGAATTATTGTAATGATTATCTGTACAGTAAAGGATCAGTGAGCATTGAAAAAGCTCATTATGGAAGGCACCAGAGGACACATTTTGCAGCTAATGGTGATGGGCGTTTTGCTGGGGTAAGGTTCTTCTACCCATAATTCCAAAACCTCTTTCATAGTATCCTATATAACAAATTACAGTTCGTATTCCATTTACAGTACTTAAAAAAAAAAAATCCATTTCACTGAGAAGAAAAGACCGCCATCTGTTAGCCGCATAGTGCTTTTATCTCAGACTGTTTCGCTTTGCCATACCTGCTATTATTGTGAACAAATGAACCAATTATCTAATTTCATTATAACCCTCCATTGTAGATAAGCATGATGTTTTCAGAGTAATCTTGTATCTTTTTAGTAAGACAGATAAGAATGCATTTTTCCCTCTGCTTGACCTCATAGCACGGCCTTCCCAGGATACAGGGCCGTCCAGACACCGGACTATGACGACACCTCCACGCCTGAGATCCTGAACCCTTCCTGGATGGCCACCATCCCTGACGTCTACTCCCTATCAGATGTGACGATGCCCGGCACACACAACACCATGGCCCTGTACGGCGGTTCACTAGCCGAGTGTAACTCCTGGTCCCTCGCTTTCCAGCTGCGCGCCGGGATCCGCTTTCTGGATATCCGTGTTCGGCATGTGAATGGAAACTTGACCATCCACCACGGAATTTCGTATCAGTATGCTCACTTCGGGGACGTGTTGATGGACGTGGTGGCTTTCCTGAGAGAGTATCCTTCGGAAACTGTGCTGATGAGGCTGAAAGAGGAGTTGAGTGACACGCAGGATATCTACGGGGCAGTTGTGCGCTACATAAATGAATATGCGCACTGGAACCTGTTGTGGCATAGTCGCGAGATGCCCAGCATGGGAGAGGCGCGAGGAAAGCTAATCGTACTGCAAGACTTCACCGGCCCTGACCTGGGCATACTCTACAACTCACTGGACATAGCAGATGACTGGCAGGTAAGCACACACTTGAAACAGTTAACCCTGGGTTATGTATATATATATAATCCTGGGGTTGTTTTGCTTAAAGGATAAGTTCACTTTTAAAAAAAACTTTTACTGATAATTTACTCACCCCCATGTCATCCCAAGATGTCCATGTCTTTCTTTCTTCAGTCGAAAAGAAATTAAGGTTTTTGATGAAAACATTCCAGGATTTTTCTCTAAATAATAGACTTTACTGGTAACCAAACGGTTCAAGGTCCAAAAGACAGTTTCAGTGCAAACTGCAAACTGTTCAAAGGGCTTTAAACGATTCAAGGCGATGAATAAGGGTCTTATCAGGCGAAACGATCGCTCATTTCAAAAATAAATAACAAAGTTTAAGTTTTATAAGCTCAAATGCTCGCCTTGCTCTGTTCTGTGACGCGCGTTCGTGACTCTCCTATTCGAACTCGTTCATCAAAATGAATTTCAATTTGTTCATTTCGTATGTTGAATTAACCAAATGACACGAAAAAAAGATTCTAGTGATTCACTAGTGAATATATTCACTATATTCACTTTCTTTGCACAAAAATACAGCTTGATTGGAAGTAAAAATATTCTATTTTAAAAAGTGAGATTTGTGTTTGTTTGCTTTTTTAAGAGCGTAATAATTTTATTTCAGCAAGGATGCATTTATTTTGACCAAAAGTGACAGTAAAGTCATTACAACATTTTCAAATAAAAGATGTTCTTTTTTAGATGTTCTTATGATGGATTTTCATTTTAGGAATTAAAGTCTGGTTCTCGCGCAAAAATAAAATACAGTTAACAAAAGGCATATGAAAAGTAGCAAAAATATATAAAGGCATTACAACAAAGCTTCCAAGACAGTTTAATGTGTTTTAATGTTGATACAACAAAAAAGGAGGGAAAAAAAACTTCTGGAACTTTAAAGTGCTTGTGGTTGAAGAACCAAACCCAGCAAAGAGAGCAATGGGGTGGGAGACAAAATATTAAATTATTCCATTGTTTGAATAATTTCAAAGTGTTCCGGAAAACAGACTTACTGAGAACCGTAGGAGGCTCTTTATATTCAGTTACCAGAGTGTAATCTTCATCTCTCAACGGTCTTTAACAATCCGCCAGAGACAATTTTTGCACCCTCACCGCATTTTTTTTAAATGGTACTGGTAAAACCTTTTTCTCGCCCCAGGTGTCCTCTCTGCAGCCGGAGGAAGTGGAGAAGAAATGGGGAAGTGTCTCCACTCATCTGGAGGCGGCTATGGTTTCCAACAAAAAACGTATGTTCCTCACCTACAGCAGCGGCGCCAGTATCCTGGCACATCCCAACGCCCTGGCCCAGCTAATGAACCCCCGTCTGCATGAATATCTGACAGGCTATGTCGGTCAAAGCAAGTGGTTTGGTATTGTGGCAATGGACTTTCCTGGTGCCAAGTTAGTGCAAACTATTATAGGCTTCAATTTTTGAGATTCAACGGCAGGACATCAGTACCAATTCGGCTGGAACTGGAACCAAAATACTTCATTAATTGACACAAATCCCAGTCATACTGTGACTCAAATTACCCATACCCTTGAAATCTCAATAGCCGTGACAGAAAAAGTTCGAGCTTGCTGGCAAATTTTGGGAATATTTGACTTAATAAAGCTCTGTGACAAATTTCTGTCATAACATCATGTTTTGACAACATTTGAAATAAAATATTCTCCTGTCACTTCATTAGGACTTTAATGAGATACTGTAGTCTGCATTTTCATGGCACTGAAAATAGAACGCACTGTCCTCCTTTAACTCAAAGAAAAGGTGTTAACTGACATCCATCTCAGAACAGTCTTCACTAAGCACAGTTACCTCAAAGCAGAGCAAGGTTTGATTTTCAGTAGTATTACATAAGTCTCAGATGTTTCAAACAGAAACTTTCTCACTAACACTGTTGGTTTTATTTTCTGCTCTATTTCAAGGACAAGTGCAAGTTTAAATCATATCTCTGTCACAGTGGTGGAGTGCTGATGTTTGCCCCGGTGCGTATCTCAATGACAGGGTCTGCAGTGAGTCATCTGTGCAAAAGGAAAAGTTTATGTGCAGCACTGAATTCCGCAAGTATGCCTAATATATAATAATATACCCTTCAAAAGTGCCTGAACATTTACTTTTTAACTTAATCTGGCTGAACCATTCAAGGAAATCTGTATTTGTACATGCTTTTGACAAATGAGGAAATTCATCAGCCCACATTCCATGGTACTGTTAATGATATCTCATGAATTTATATATGGTAAGCACAAATCCATCACTTAGGCATTTTAGAAGACCACAACTGAAATCTTTGGCAAGATAACCAAAATTGAAGGCCACAAAAACATAACATTCAAATGAATTTGAATCATTCTTTGTGTAATACATACAACTGCTAGGGCTAGAAACACTACTTTTAAAATCTGAACAGATTTGAATACACTATAGGCACACTAGGCATCATATGCTATAGGGTGATCATATTTGATTACCAAAAACCAGGACACTCGGCCCAGCAAACACATGGGCCAACTCAAATGATTCTCGAAGTTTACTCAAAGATACCTTATTAATTTCAATACATTTAAAGTAGATTATGCCTCCTCAGTATGGATAGAAAATGGTTATATTGTTATATGAAAACAGGACATGTCCTGGGAAAACAGGACAGTTGGTCACCCTATCATATGCTAAATGACTGAGCATCACATACAACCCGAATTTCAAGTCTTAGGGCCCTATCATACAACAGCCGGTGCGACGCAAGTGTTTTTTGCCAGTTTCAGCCTGACACAACTATCATTTTCACGTCTTTCCTCTTGCAAATTCCGCCATGTAAATAGCAATCCGCCATGGCGCGAGCACAACTGGCTTTTAAAGGGAATACGCCTTATTCACGGCAGCGCCATCTTTGATTTTTAATGAGAATGAAAGCGAAGCTGTGAGGGATAGACTTGCATCTCTTTAACGGGCTGTACTGTTATTTAATGTGTTTCGGATTGTTCTGCTCATGAAACACTGGAAAAATATCTTTGCAAGAAATTTCAGTTGACAAAAAACTCCTGACAATGTAAGCTGTGGAAAATTGTAAGTAATCTAGCTGCTTTATTCAGCTTTTTACAGCGGATGCCATTGGAAACACGGTAAGTCTATCCCTCACAGCCTCACTTTCATACCTGTCATGGTGCTGCTCTGAATAAGGTCTATGGGAGAAGAGACTCTGATTGGTTTATTGCACGTTATGCCCAAAACACTCATTTAGAGAATATAGGGACAACCCTTTTAGACCATGCGCCGGGCTCGCCGACGATTTTTCCTGTTGTTAAAAAAGCAAAAGTGGATTTGGACACAATCTAAGTGCATTTGCGCCATACGTTTTAGACCATGTGCTTAGATGGTTAAAATAGGGACCTTACTGAACAGAACCAACTCCTGTAGAAATGCTGCTATGCATGACAAATGAAAAGAATATGTGAATGAAACCGTCTCTTGTTCAGTCTAGTTGTAGTGTTTCGCTCACGATTTCACATTTTACCCAACAAATGCTTAAACAATGTTTTTATTTGCAATGTGCTGTGTTTCTGTTACACCCCTGTCACACCCACAGACCATTGGCATAACGTCTGATGCATACATGCATTCAGAAGTTTTGAAGTTTCCGTCTGATTGGTTGAATTCTCCAGGATTTCCGGGAGATGTTTGAGTCAAGTTCTTTAACAGTATGTCCGGAAACAAAACCAATCGTGATGCCAACCCCCCTCAAAAGCCTTCGTCTTTATAACTGTGACAAATGAAAAGAATGTGTTTTAAAAATATCAATCATATTTGACATCCTCTGACTAAATGGAGTCATATCCTGAAGCTATAAAACCAAAGTTCGGTAATTCACTCTGACTGCGCAAAATCCGCAGACTGCCTTTTTAATTTCGGCAACTACCAACTCCTTCAGACTGTGAATCGGGGCAAATATCTGAGCAAAAGCGGTGTCTGGAAGCCTTCTCTGTACATCTGTAATGTGCTTGCATGAATTCTGGTCTCAGGTGAAGCTTTTACAGAAAGCCTTGGCCTTACGCGAGGCACTTGACTGTTAACTGGCTGTGGAACACAGCAGGAGGTAACTAGCTCTACATCTTCAATGTCACGCTTCTGTGTCCCATCATCTCTTTCCCCCGTGTCTATGACATCACATGAGTGCTCCCGTCCCTGGCTCTGCACACAGCCGGGTAACAAGGCACGGAGAACGACACCCCATGAGAGGAACAGAAGGATGACAGAAGGTGTGTGAATGTGTTTAGCTCCGCGTCCAAATCGTTTTTCCTCCCTCTGCTGCATGCAGATTGGGACAATGAAAAAGTGGGCCGCGAATTTAATGCAAGACAGGCTGTGACTGAGGACGACAACAAGGCCATCAAATACTCCGGGTGAAAGACACCAGTGTTGTCACTTGGGGTAAGAATCGTAAGTTTAATTATTACAATTCCTCTTCCTGTTTAAATATTTAGTTGCTTAAAGGAGAACTCCGGTGCAAAATGAACCTTTGGTCTAATAAAACATCGGTACCTAGTCGACCATGATAATCGAATGTAAAGAGTTTTATCTCTAAAAACAGTTTAATAACGCTAGATAAGTAAAAAGAAATCGCTAGTTGATACCACTAACAAGGCTCGAAATAGCCCCACACTAACACAGTAACATAATGAGGGTCCATACATGCAAAAAAAAGCACTGAGAACTAACAGACAATTTAATAAGAAGATATTTTATAAAGACAGACCACTTTGTGTATACAGGCAGGAGCCATCTTGGAAAACAGTCTCGACAAGTCAAACCACGAACGCCATTCACGAAGTTCAGAAGTCCGCTCACTTCAGCTCACTTAGCACATCGTTCGTGATTTGACTAGTTGAGACTGTTTAGTATACTTATTACTATACAACATTACAGCCTAACAGATTGCTATCCATTGTAGTCACGTGACTGCAAAGTATGAATAAGCGAGTCTGATTAACTGCTCCATCTTATTCATAAGTGTTTGTGATTCACTAAAAAGATCCAGTTCGTGAGAATCTGTCTCTCAGTAATCTGACTTCACTGGTCACGCTGTATGTATTGCCAAAGTGAAAAAGTACTGGCAGTTTAATTCACTTAAACTGATAAGAAGATGATAAGAAAAGAGGTCGCTCGACAGACGGATATTAGTCAGGTGAGAAAAGATACCTAAAATCCCTGTTCTAAAAGTCTTATGGCCCTTTCCAGTTTTGGCCTGACACTGAAAATCCTGTCAATTTGTTGATATAAAAATCGATAACACTTTATTTCATTGGTCCACTTTAGACATTCTACTAACTATAAGTAACTTTGCAGCTACATGTCAACTAACTGTCTAATGAATATTAGTAGACTGTCTGCTTAATTTCTGATAACACTTTATTTTGTTGGACATTGTACTGACTAGAAGTAACTTGGCAAGTACAAGTCAACTACTAACCCGAACCCCAGCACCTAACCATAACCTACCAGTCTACTACACTCTACTAATACTGTAATGAGAGTTAGTTGACATGTAGCTGCAAAGTGTCTTAAGCCTAGTTCACACTACGTGATTTTAAGCCCGATTTAAGCCCGATTTGCAAATCGTTGAGTCGCCGACAAGTCAGGGTGTTATCGCGTGCAAATCGCGGGCGATTAGCGGGCGATTAACGCTCGCCAATCCGTTAGTGTGAAAGAGCCAACAACGCACCAAAGACAGCTCGCAGACAGGTCACCGAGCTCAGAAAAATATCTAGCATGCTAGATATCTCGAGCAGTCGCGCGACTCAATCTCAGTGATGTCATGAGTACAGCCAATCATAGCAACGCATGGGTTGAGGACACCAGGTAAATCTTACTTTTTCTTTTCTTTTTTGCATTTTTTTTTCTCAGAGCAGATCGTCGAGCAAACAGTGTGCAGCACTAGTTTCTGTCTGACGTCCATATTCGCGTGTTGTGTTCTTCTCTGCAGTTTCGCGTCATTTCTGGTTCGTTTTATTGCGTGGTTTTTCGTGGCAAAACATGGTTTCTAGACCAGATAGAATCGTGTTGTTGTCAACTCGTTATTTGTTTGATTATTTTCAGGATTTAGACCGTACTATAGTACTGAAACAGCTCTAATTGAGTCACAAATGATATGCTCTTATCATCCGATCGTGGTTGTATCTCTATGTAGTGCGTTGTTAACTCGTGTAGTGAGTTACCTCCTGTTGTGGATCAATCACGTTGTGTTGTGTGGTGTGAACAGCTAAACAACTTGAACACTCATGATTTCACTGAGAGCAAGTCATGTAGTGTAAACTGCACAGTTCAGCCCGACATTTTAAAATCAAGTAGTGTGAACTAGGCTTTAAGTGGACTATCGAAATAAAGTGTTACCTAAAAATCTTTTGCTCAGAATCGGATTCACTGCTCAGGCTGTATGATTCACCAACAAGAAGGGGCTCATAAGAGTCAATCACTGGATAATCAGAGTATGTTTACACCACAATGATGCAGTAAAAACAGAAAAGTTTTTCCTTTGGATTTTTGAACAGTTTCACATTCAGACGACAAATCGATCCCAGCGAAAATGACTAGAAATGCTGCAGGCATTAAAGGCCAGTAGTTTGTCAGTAAATTAAATAGATTTAAGAATTGCCATAAACAATTAGAAATGAAATATTACTA